AGGGATTAAGATTAACAATCTCCCCCTTTTTGATGGTGACAAAACAATGGATGGAGAAAAGAAAAATTGAGCCAAAACTCCCTCTTAGTCAATACATCAAAAAAGGTTTTTAAGTGCTAAGATTTTTAAGGTCAGAATAACTCCCCCTCAGGATAACTTCCCCTTATACATTTACCAAATTTACATACACATTGGCCAATTTACACTTCCTAACATCCCAACATAACATCTCAATATCTCAACATCCATTTCCATTTCTTCCTCTTTTTATCATCATTAAAAGATTTTAACAACCAGTGTCAGCAATCCAATATCAGTAGCGCAGTCATACAATCAACATCAGAAATCCAATCTAATATCGAATCCAATTCAATATACCACCAATATCCAATTCAATATACCAAAGTATACCAGAAATGCAATCCAAACACAAGCATAAAAAATTAATATTAGAAATCAGAGGAAGTTCCAAACAGAGAAATATTATGGAAGATACATTAGCAAATTAACCAGAAACCATTAAAGTTAACCAATATCCATAGTACAGAGTACTTGAACCATCAAAAGAGAGAATTATAAAAGATGCAAATGCCTAATATGAAGTGTCATCATAAAATGAAGTGCAAATGCCTAAGATTGCCTAAATGGTGATCTTGGACGATCCAAGCCTTTTTCTTGCAAGGCGAAACTCAACAGGATCCACTTCATCTTTAGTTTTCTCATCGTCATCATCACTAGCATTAGTTGTTAGAACCTTGCCCTTATCTTGTGGCTAAGAACTTGAAGCATAGATTTCAGGAGTGGACTCAGGTTGTGGTCCTTTATCTTGTGGAACGGGAGTTGAGTCAATCCAAGGCTCTTTTTGATGCACATTTTCATCTTTTTGAGGGATAGGGAGCACAAGTAGGTTTCTTTTGTCAATAAAAGTGCCTTGCTGCTCAGGTGACATGGTCATCATCAGACCATCTTCAAGAAGGAGAATATGTTGTTTGAGCTCTTCAAATAAGGAGATGATTTCATGGTTGGATGAGGAAGACTGAGTGGATGATTTTCTAGGATGGATGGTGAAGGGTGAAACATATTGAAGCTGATCTCTGGGAGGTCTGGGAGTGATAGGAGTTTCATTACGACTTTTTGTCCTAAACTCCAAAACAGACTCCTTGTAGCAATCGGAAAGTAAGTCATCAGTTTTGTAATGTGAAAATAGTGATAAGCAGTCGGAAACTCTTCATAAGAGAAAAAATTTATAATTTTTCCTTTAAAATCATCTTCAATTTTGGTCTTTAGAACAACATTAACAATGTCAGGATTGAATGCAATATCAACTGAATTGACACGAGAAACCAGATCAGTGTGTGAACTACCCTTCTTAAGGTTAGCAAAGAACTGATGAAGCATATCAGAATAATAAGTGCTGGGTAGGGACAAAATGTAGACCATTTTTGGAATTCAAAGAGCTTAAGAACTGGTTCAAGGTCAAACTTACGGAATTCAGAGGGGATAATGGTCCTTTGAGTGATGAAACCCTTCTGTGAAATCCATTCAAACCTTTCTCTGACATCATCATCTATAAACTTGGGCAATAGGGTTGGCTCTTCTCAGTTTGAGCAGCAGATTGCCCTCTAGTAGGACGTTTCCTCTTTCCACCGCGAGTCTCAGTCCTTTGTCTAGGTGATTTCCTAGTGGAAGGCTCAGTAGTTGGTTGTTCATCATCACTGATATCGGGCAATACAGTTGGCTGTTCTTCAGTCTGATCAGTTTGTTTCTCTCTGGCAGAATATTTTCTTTTTCCACATCGTGTTTCAGTTCTTTTTCTTGATGATTTTCTAGTGGAAGGCTCGACAATTTCAATGTCTTCATCTCTTAGCCTGGTAGTGCGTTCGGTACCAGCAGAGCCTCCTCTCACTCTTACCATGATGAAATGCAAGATGATTTTATTGCAGAAAGTGATAAATGTGTGAATGAGATGGACTAAGATTGCAGATGAGACTAGAATGTAAGCTTGAATCTTCCAAAAAGAGTGAATTTTGAGTGGCTAGGCTTTTTGCTGAGAATTGGGATCGATGGAGTGGTTGGCAGTTAGAGGAAATTATGTGATACGAACTCGACCCAACAAGAACCTGTCTTGAAGAACCGAATCGATCAGGCAGCGGAAGGATCTATCTTGATCAGGTTATGGAACAATAACTACCTTGCTAGATCTAAAGAGAACCTGTTTCTAGAAATCTAGTGGATTGGTTATTGGCTTGAAAGAACCAGATGATATGATCATTTTGCCTTGAACACCACAAGTATCCAAGCTAAATACTTGATACAGTTCAAGAAGAAATTTAAGTTCCATCAAGGAACTCCATAAAAGGAGACAACTCTCTTTTTATTAATTCATCTTCAATATCATATATTGAATAGTTAAATAAAGTTGGCTATTTATAACCTTACAAGACTCAAAATCCTAATCTTAATTGGAAACAATACAAGTTTCCTTATTTCACTTGACTTCCAAACTTGACACAACTTTCTAAACAAATTTGGAAGCAATTAACTATTTTCCTAAAACTCTAATTCAACTAGAATAGGAAACTAACTAACTCAAATTGGCTTAACTATGGTCAACATGACCTTAGCCTTTATTCCCTAATTCAAACAACTTACTTAACTCTCAAATTAGCTCTAATTAACAACTAACATTGCCGAAAACTCAATTAAATAAATGATAACAAGAAATAAGCATGACACGGGGTTGGATCTTCAATGATTCTCGAACTCGATTGCACCATCAACCATCATTGGAATGTGAAGACTTGTAAAATGAATTTTCTTGGACTTGAAAGGAATCCAAATCATCATGTTCTCATCATTCCCCTCCTCTTGAAAGACGATTTGTCCTCAAATCGAGTGCTTGCTTACAAAGGAGTAACTCGGAGATTGTCTTGATAGATGCAATCCAAGAAGCATGTCGCCAATTCAACTTGATTATGAACACGAACCATTGCACATGCTCCATTTGTCAATCCAATTGTACTTGGTTGGAATTTGGAAGTTTAGTTTGTTTGATTCTTGGATTCACTTTTGGAAAGCAAATTGCTAGAAATCAAGAATGTGGAAATAAGATTCCAAATCCCTCTCAATTTCCAAATCCAGCGCAAGGCTGCCTTTTCTTGTCTTTGTGTATCCGAATTGTTCTCCTAAAAAGGGGTGACAAGTGGCGGCTAACTTCCTAAAATATAGGAAGAGATGGCCGAAAATGAGGATAAGATGAATGGGATAAGGAAAGTCCTAAAAAATAGGAGAGGGGGTGGCCAAAATGTAGGAACGGGTCTTTGATTGGAAATCAATCAATATTTGGAAACCAATCAAGATTTGGAAACCAATCAAGGTTTGGAAACCAAACAAGGTAGCCATACTTCAAGATCAAGAGGATGACTTTTAGTGTTTTCAAAGTCTCAAGATTTTTTTCAAGAACCCACTATGCAATCCAAGAACTTCAAGAAATCACCAAGCCAACTACAAGAAACAAGAACAACAAAAAACAAACACAAGGTAAACAAAAAAAATTTTTCGTATGAACAGTACTGCACAGTATGCTACAGTAGCGGCAGATGAACAATACTACTGCAGTAGTGTCGCGCCCCACTTTTTGAGATGTGAAAGTAGTGTGTATGTGAACGTGTGTGAAGATGAAAATAAAAGGCCGTGGGATTGTGAAATGCGACGGTTTGGCCAAACAAACAGTTCAAAAAGGGTTTTTTGAATGGAAAATGGAGTCGCCACTTGGTATAGAGTTAGGGTGTACCAAGTCACCCAAAAAGTGATTTTTTGGAAAGAAAAGTAAACAAACCCTTTTTAAAGAACTTTTAGGTCTACGTAACCAAAGAAAGGGATCGGGGGTCACATTTGATAAGGGAGAAGGCAAAAGCAAAGCCTAAGGCACTCCCTTACCCTAGCTAAAGCTAGTTGTGTGACTTAGCCCCACTTTTCCTAATGCTTCTACCCAAAATATGTTTTACATGTTGGATGTGACTAATGGATATGAAAAATGCAATCCTAGATCTAAAATGTCTCTTATGAGGCTTTTTGGTCCCAATCACATGAGTTGTGATGGCCAATAAGGAAAACTCTCATAGAGGTCACGGGTAATGCAAATGAAGACTCAAATATGAATGCAAGTGTGAAAATGTGAGAAGAATGCAAAATAAAATAAAATAAAATACAAATGTGAGTGCACGTGTGCAAATGTAATAAAAGTGCATGTGTGCAAATGTAATAAAAATGCATGTGTGCAAATGTAAGAAAAGTGCATGTGTGCCAATTGAGAAAATGAAGGTGTATGTGTGCAAGTGGATAAAATATGGTATAATGGTAGTAAATGCATCTAAGTACAATTGGGTGCAATTTGTGAGGTAGAAAATAAATGAGTGATAGGGAAAGAAGAGAAATGTGTGAACATGGCATGTGGAGTGAGAAAAATATAAGTAGTGAGAAAATGTAGATGAAAAAATGATATGGTAAAATAGAGGTGCATGAACCTAGATGAATGCATCAAGTCGGGTACGGGAATGACTTCTATCTTCATGATTTTAATTTTTCCTTTGATTAGAAGGAAGAACTAGCGTGCTAAGGCTATTTTGTAGCCACACTCGCTCGTTTCCCTTACCTAAAGGGGACTCTCAAGCAAATGTACCCTATAACTAGCATGAAGATGCAAAAACCTAAAATGAAGGGGAAAGGGTTGGAGGATCATGCCAAGTGCTAGAAAACTAAGGGTACGTTTGGTTCTACAGAATTGGAATTGAATTGGAATTGAAATTCTATAGAATTAGAATTCTAGGAATTGGAATTCCAAAACGTTGGAATTCTTTTGTTTGGGAAATGCATAGAATTGATATAGAATTCATTTGGAATTCCAAATTCTTTGTTTGGATGCGAGAAGAATTCATTAAGAATTAGAATTGTTTCCATCTAACATTTGCTTACATAAAAATTTTCTTTTTTTCTTTTTCGTATGGAATAATTTTTTAAACATTTAGCTAATTCTTACTAAAGTTTCAAGGAAAAAATCAATTAATGCCTTTAATAATTTATTTTTTCTTGCATTTAACCAATTGTTATTAAAGCTTTAAAGAAAAAAACCAATTAGTTCCTTTTCTACAAAATAAAAATATAGTATTACTCTTGTTTCCTTTATTCTTAATTAAATTATATTAGATACAAAACTAATTGGGGTATGTAAGACAACAAGATAAAGTTCGTTGTGTATGTAAGTAAAGTTTCTGGACAATGATGAACAAGAAAGTAACTATTCACAAAATAAAAACAAGAAACTATGAAGTCTAAAGTATCTCTTAACAAGACCACATTAACATGCCTTTTCATGCAGACACGTTTGACCCAAAACTTCAAGAACAGTTTTGAACAAAAACCTGCATCACTTGTTACCAACAAACCATAAATATCTCATCTTGTGCAATTCGTTGATTTTTAAAGAGAAAATTATCAGTGGAAAGGTGTGCTGCCAAACATACACAAATCCACATGCATAAACAGATTGTACATGGTTGCACAAGTGAAGTTGCTCTAGTCCCTGCAAGAGAGCTTCTTCGACCTTTTGCAAAGAATGCTGAAGATCATATATTCTCACAACTTGCTGAGCACTAATTATCATGACATTAATTATCATGACATGAGTCTTAACATCAAAAAAACGATACATCTCTCAAAATGGTCCATCGCTTCTTGAACAAACCAAAATTGTGGTCTTGTTGAGAACAATCACACCACAGCTTATTTGAATCCATCAACTGTGACAAATACAAGTTCATTAACTTGACTAAAATTGCATCCACTACTAAAGACTTCAGCAGAAGTAGTAATTAAATCACCAGAATGCAGCTTTAGGATGAAATAAGTTCCCTTGTTGAATGTCAATAACCTCAATTTTCTTTACTCCATTTTCTTTCTGTCGGTAGATTCTTTCTTTCTCCATTTCCTCCCTCCTTTGGTGCATTTTAGATTCTTTATTTCTTCCTCCTTTTGTACTTTTAGAATCCATTAAATTTAAGCGCTAATTGAGTACTAAACTTTATATTGAATCTTGGGAAAATGTATATATCACGTTTCAAACCTTGTCTAAAGTCTGAACTTATTTTATCAAGGGATACAGAGTATTTATCTTTGAGTTGCATATGCAAAAGGCTGGAGTTGAATAGGCCACAAACCTCCAGGATGTGATGCAACTTGCCGTCTATCCTTGTTTTGCTCATCATCCTCAAGAATAACAGCTTTATTATCTCCTAGAGCTGACATTAAGTTGACACCACAAAATTAAGACATGGACTTCTTTACTATATAGTATATTAGGAACAAAAATTGCATGATAACAAGGTTGTACGTGGGGCTTACGCTCTAAAAATGTCAATACTTCAATAAAAAGAAGATTGAACATGCTGCTCATACACCAATCCAGTACCAAGTTTCTATAAAAAAATAGACCTCCGTCCTTAACAAGGGTCTTTCCAACTGTAGGTTCTGAGCCATTGCTGGGCTGTAAAACCAAAGTCAAGAACCATTACTAGAATTAATATCTGGCACTCAAGGGTTAGGCAGTGCTTTTTAAGAAAACGTCAAATTTCAGTGCAAATTCTTAGGAGATATTACCTTCAAGACTGAAGAACCCAATTCGAGAAAATTAGGCAGGGGTAAGGAGAGAGCACTCAGATTAGTCTTGCGATTGGCAAGATGATGGGTGGATGCGTGGCAGGAGAGGCGAAGGGCAGAGGGATGGCTGAAACGAAGAGCGATAGGGGAAACGATGGTGGAAGCGGCAAAATGTTAGGGCAGAGGTAGAAGCGATGGTGGAGAGCAGGAGCACTTGCGGCTGAGAAAAAATGGTGAATTAGAATAGGAGAGAGGGATGCTTGTATATTTGACCCGCTTTTAATTTTTTACCCATGTTAGATTCGCGTGTATATCCATTTCTTATGGTTTAGTTGTGAAATTGGAATTAGAATTCTTTTGGTCCGGTAAAGAATTCAATTCATAGAATTGGACTCCCATAGAATTCAAATTGAATTCTAATTCTTCAATTGGAGCATAATCCAAACAACAGAATTAGAATTGGAGCCCCAATTCCAATTCTAAACCCCAATTTCATGGGGAACCAAACATACCCTAAGTAAAAATGTATGAAATGTAGTGAAACATGCAAGTATGTACTAACGAGAGGGGACGGCCTATTGGGTCTAGCATTGGACTAGCCCTTTTCTAAAATTCTCTCACAAGCATTGGACTTGCGAGAGCTCGAGAGGAAAGACCATGACCAGCGTTGGACTAGCCACGGTGACGCCACACATTCATTATAAACCAAATAAATCATGTAAAGGCTAATAAAGCAAATAAACACATAAATCACATATTGCACATAACACATAGGCATGGTATCTAAATGCAAGACCCTAAGAAAGCAAGTAACACGTAGCACATAAGCACGCAAATCATACTAATGAACCTATTACATTGGCTAACTAAAACAAATTGGGAAGGGGGAAAAATGAATAAAAATGCTCTCCGAGCCCTATCTATTACAAGCCAAGAGGTGTACACATACCCCATAAATAAATAAAAGAATGACTTAATAAAAGCAAAAGTAAATGAAATAAATGAAATGAATTAAGGAAAATCAAGGAAAGCAAAGTAGACATGCAATTCTCACTTAGCACGTTGGATCACATAGGGTCAAACAAGGTCAAAATAAGGGATAGAGTGTACCTCCCTTGAATCGATGCCCTAACGAAGTGAAATTACTAATTTACCCTCCAAAACAATAAATGGGTTAAGGTACCACTTTAATTAATAATTAAGTAACATGAAACAAAAAGTTAAATATAAAGATAAAAATTAAACACGAAATAAAAATTAATCACGACGGGAAAATACCTAATAAATCATGTACGTTAAAGAAATTAAGGCAAACAAAAACCTAATTGGAATAATCGAAAAATTCTAAAACGAGGTACTAACATTGGTGACTCGAAATGGAATTTGCCAAATCAAACGCTAAGTTTATAAGAGAGGAGATGGAACCTATTTATTTGAATTAAACGATAAAAATAGCCAAAATTTTGATCAACGGAAATCAACACTATAAATTCTAAGGAAAAACTATTAAACTTTCCCCAATTCATCCTAGATTCACTAAAAATCTGTCCATTGTGAGAACCCTGAAAATAGATACATAAGCCAGTGCATATTTCATTTGCATTTTTTTTTATTCCTTAATAATTTGTAGCATTACCTTTACTTGTTCGCAATTAAGTACGTAAAAATAGGTTTATGAGAAAAATAATATAATTTTCCTAAGTTATGAAATTTCTTGGTTTTGTTAGACTAAATTAAAATCTTTAGGGTTAGATTAATTTTTTCGCCTTAACATAAAATGTTAGAATACTTAATTCCTTTATGCTAAATTAATGATACTTGAGTCGATAGCTTTACTATCTTAAAATAAATTATTTAAGTTCCTATGATTAATTCCAATTAGTTGCTAATGTTAAATGTTAATAAGAATTTCCGCGTTAAGATGAAAACCAATGAATTTTAGATAAATATGATTCTAATATACTAAACATACTTAAGGCGTGAAAATTCGATAAATATATCCTTATCTTTCTTTGTTTTCACAATAAGTGCGTAAAAATAATTTTTATGTGCAAATTGACACCCTTGGATTTAATTATTATTTCACTTGACTTTATATTACTAAATCGATAAATTTCGAGTTAGACTAACTCCACTTCTTGAGAAATAATAATTGGAAATTCTAATAACTAATTTAATCGCTAAATAATATAGGAATTACTAGGAACCTTAATATTAAAGTTTAATAGAGAATTATTCGATAAAAATGGTTTAGGTATATTAGGGTATAATTAGGCGTTCAAATCACACTTGGGGATAGTTTTTATAATTAAGTTGGATTTGAGAAATTAAGTTGAGGTTAGGGAGCAAAGTGAAGAGACTAAAATGCCCTTACATTTCCATGCAAACCAAACGAAACCTCTGACAACAATTTTAATCACCGCAACTATCGGCCAATCACATTTTCTCCAATTCGATACGCAACCAATTCACACACACGCAACCTCTGCTCCAAAACCATAAATCATTCTTTCTTCCTTCTCCAAAACCGCGGCACCATATTTTCTACTTCATTCCTATATCACAAACCACTACCGCAACTCCATTCCATTTCCTCTGCAACAATTCACTCAGACCACACTCCACCTTCACCTCGTTAACATCGACTGAGATAGAGAGGGAGTGACTGAGCCGCACTCTGCAATCCGAGAGGGAAGAAAAGAATCCGCGAGCTGCAAATTTTTCCTGCTCTGTCCGTGAGCTGGAGAGAAGAAAGGGGAGCAGCACTGCGTGAGCTCCACCCCTTGTCGCACTCTTCACCTTCCACCAACCACAACCATCTTCACCGCAACACCATACTAGCTGCAATCAGTTTCCAGCAGCAATTACTGCAACCAAAATCTACTGCATGCGTGAGAGCCGAGAGGAAGGAAAATTTTTCAGATTTCCTGTGCGAAGGCTTAGCTTTCTGTGAGGTAATTTCTGGACCATTTTAGGATTGATCGGAGGTAGATTGAGCCATCTAGGGGCATGCATGTATTGTTTGTGTAATCGGATGATGAAATCAAGACACCAGAAAATTCTGTTTTGATGAAAAGTTTCTGCCGAGAAGCTGAGTTGAACATACAACTTTATTTTTTTTTTCCGGTGACAATCTGAGCTGAATTACGTGTTTAACCAATCAAAAACAAGAAGATTAAGCCATCTAGGATAATGCATGTTAAGTTGAGACAGCCGGGTGAGTGAGTTAGGAAAAGAAATTCTGTTATGTGCGCAAGTTGGACTGCCGAGAACTTGACTTGAATAATGCGGCTCCATTTGGTTCAATTTTGCTGTTTTGAGCTTCTAACCATGATTAACTAGTAAATTACAAGATGATTAAGCTCTGCATGTAGTTAATTAGTTGAGTTAGAACAGAAAATAAAAATAAAATGCAACCAGTTTTTGTGCAGCTCAAGCCGAGGCTAGCTGGAGATTCTTTTTGGAAATTGGATGACTTGTGTTGTTGATCGAACTTAATTTTTGAGCTAGAAATGTTAATCAGTTAGTTAAGTAATTGTATGCTGAATTTGAGTATTTAAATCACTGAATTAGCCAAGGAAAAATTGGGTTAAGAACATCTAAGTGTTGGAAAAATTTTCAGTTCAATTAAGAGAGGAGGAATGGAAATTTTGATTGGTTTCTGGAATTTCATTTTTTTTGTTCTTGGAATGTAATGGTATAAAAATGTATGAGAGATGTATATTTAAGTGGTGCAAATTGTTTAGTGATGAAATAATAGACATATTGAAAAATTGAACCAAAAATGTTGGAATATAAGCTGGAAATTTTCCAGCCTTAGCCGAGTTTGAAAAGGAATTATTTATTGATTTCTTTATAGAGTTTGGGGCTGTGAAAGATTATATTATTGTTGATATCGCTTTATAATACCTTGAGATGGTCATGCATTTGAATTTTGGGGTGACAATTTGATACTATAGATGGAATTTCTTGGCTTTGGATCAAATACTTGGGCATGAGGTTGTTGCAAAATTGGTCCTTGGTGAATACCTACTAGTAAATTTAAACATTTGAATTGTTAGCTTTGTTGCTATAAAAACGAATTGTTGGATGCTAAGGGCTAATGATTGATGAAGCCCTTGGCCATTTGGATGATTTTATATAAGTATAAGAGTTTAATGAAATAAAATTTCTGGATTTACTTGGAGGCCTTACATTCGTTTTGGATTTAGTTGAGATGTGAAATGAACGTGCTAAAACCAAGTGCTAATGATTGACGAAGCCTTGGTCATTCATTTTATTTTTTTTTATCAGAAATGCATCTGTTGAAATCTAGGGCTAATGATTGAAGAAGCCCTAGTGATTTGCTATGTGATTTTGCCATGTCGCTAAATTTGATCCATAATATGATTTCGAAACGGAATCGGAGCTGTGGAAGTCGTTTCGACCTTGTGAACTCGAGTAACTATGATCAAACTGATCAAAAATATTTTTCAGCTAGTATTAGACTATAAGACTCAATATCTAGTGTTTTGCCTAAATTTTCCAACTCGATAATTTCTTTTAGCTCAAACTAGCCTTGATAGCTATAGTAAATAAATTCTCTAGCTTTTGAAAACCCTAAGTTTTATTTTAATTCCTTTTCTTTCATTAAGTTTTGCACTTGGATAGTTGTCGGTTGGAAAAGTTCCGAAATAAGAATTTTAATAATTTTAGTTAAAAGCATAGAAACTTGCTCGGCAAGAAACTTATTTTAGGTAAAATAGTTTTAGTAATAATTTTGCAAGAACCATAGCTTTAAAGAAATGTTCAAAGTAACTTCCTAACGTGGATTTTAAGAGGTTTGTCGACTTATTTCAAGAAAAATAATACAAGTTACCCTTTTATAAAAAAAAGTATCTCAAGGAAAACTATAAGAAACATTTCTACTACTTTTGTCAAGTTTCAACCTAAGTAGGTTCTTGAATTTACTAAGGGAAAGTAAACTAGTGGTATATTAAATATACCTCGATGTGTATAAGCTTAAAAACCGAATAGAAACTTATAGTTTCAAATTTTGGTTTTTAGGATATTGCGAGGATGCGGAATTCGATTCCCAACTTGATATCGGAACTCCACTCTTGGTGAGTGTCCCTGCTTGTTCTATGCCTACTTGATTAAAGTGCTTTCTTGACTTGATATGTGATAATTGGATAATGATTTTCTGATCCATCGAAGTGAGCAGTGTGTACTTTATCGCACTAGCCTTTCATGTG